TACTGAGATTGCAGGTGTTTAGAAGTTTGCGAAATATTACACTGTTTGCCATGAAGAACCGTGCAATACACCTGGTTTAAGAAAAAAATAATAATTACCCTTCCTTGCAAAACTTAATTTGATGTTTGGTTCTGAGTTCAGAAGGCAACAAAAGGCAGAAAGAGAACTTATTTCCCTATACGCGGTGTAAATTTCAAATTTTGCAGTCCTGTATACGTTTTTCAGTTTTTCATTCATCCTTGAGTAAATTAGTGCTAGGTCTATAGTATGTGGAAAACTTATACATAACGGCAGAAAACATCGTTTGTCTACGATCATGGCCGGGTATTTTTGCTATTCGAGGAGAAAATATACTGAACGAGTAGTGACGTTTGGGGATATAACAAATGAAAGAGAGTGCGTTTTGTAACAAATGCAGATATGTTATTGTTGAGTATGAAGGGGGTGTAACCATGTAAAATTGCTGATCAGATTTTACAAACGAGACAATTACTAAAATCATTGGCTTTTATTTGTTTTAGATTTTTCATTTCAAAAAGGTTTGATTTAGTTTCTGATGAATTTTACTCTAGTGATAGCATATGTTTCGCAGTTTTCATTTTCGATTTTTTAACCCGGTCTTTTTGAAGATTTAACAGACTCCCAGAGAGCATGGATAGATGAAAGCCAATTAGCACGGATATCGTTTTACTGATAACGTAATCCTGGAAAGCGATTCCGTAATAACAACGTTTGAACCAACAGTTTAGTCACTCACCAATATAAAGTCCTAACAGCCAAACTTTAAATCTAGAGTATTATCAATAGAAACACATTCAATGACTTTAACTTCACAGCCAAGGAAACATGGAGATGACTGCACTAGTGCAGAATGTGCCAGTGAAACAACAAAAAAATTGAACGGCAACATATTTCATAATAAATTAATATTTCTCATAAATTAGAACACCAAAATCTGTAGCGACGAGTATTATTGTTCTAGTCAATTGGAAAACTACACGAATGCATGTCCTCTGGAGACCAAGCGAAATTCGCCAATGAGTGGTTTTCTGTATAAATTGTGTGTAATTGAGCTAAAATAGGAAAGTACTCGGCGAGTCTAAACAATTTCTAATTGGATAAGATGTTCACCATTTGGTATACTGAATTTCTAAGAGTCTTTAAATATTTCTCAGAAGTGGAATCGCAAATATTATGAAACAAAAGTTGAAAGATTTGTACAGGGGCGGAGTAATAATGCTTAATCAGTAAGACGCCCTGATCAGTATCACTATTTGCAGAAGCTTCTGCTATTTGTTATACGTACTATTTTAAAATTGATTGTTCTCTGAATTCATCTTGGTTAACAGAAAAATAAACATCAGTCAACATAATTAGCTTTAGGCAGGAATTTTTAAAGAGATGAAGATGATATAATTGTTCTGTCTTTGAACTATTGTCTGCAATAATTAACAATAATGTGGGCAAAGATTTTAATTGGGTGTAATGTAAACTAAAAGGGATTTCACCTGAAAGTAATTTGGGTACAACACCATCCACGGCGTTTATATTGATCACTCAACACAGCTTAAATCGAAATGTAGGATTTAAAAAAAAAATGAAAATTTACACTCTAAAATTACTAAGTAGAGACACATGGCCTGAGAACAAGAAAATGACGAATGAAAATAACCGTTGTCAGATTTGATTTCTTTAGCGGGAGGCCAAGCTAAGATTGATTTTCGTGAAAGAACTCGAATGAAAAGCCTGTCGTCTAAAAATAGGCAGATAGAGAAGAAGTTACAAATTTCACAAAAGTAATTGACTGTAAAACCATGAAAGAATGTCTTCGCCAGCGGCTTGCTGTCGTTGATGAACCATGTTTTCATCACATGTTTAGAATAACTATACGTTTTCTTCACGGTTGTTGTGGATGAAAATAACCAAATTTATCGAAGAATCCATAAATCACTACATCCGGGACCCGTATGTCACTCTTGCAAGTGGCATATCTGCAAAAGACGAAATGGCTCTTGCCTTTAGCGAGCTTTTGTTGAATTAACTTGGTTTGTTGTTTGGAATAATGGCCGCTGCTGGTAAATTTGTTTTGTTGAGCGAAGACAAGGTAATTGTGTTTTCCGAACAGATAAGAACGAGAAAACCAAACGAAAAACGTTTGAAACGTTTTCAGGAAATTCTCAAAACGTGACAAGAAAAAATAAATAGAGGATATAACGCCGTTGGAACGGCAAGCAACTCATTAAATACTTGGTGGTTTGTGTGTAAAACTGAAAACGGATAAGAATACGTACAAGCCCTCATCCATCACAGGTTTTGTCCAAAGCATCGACAGCTATCTGCGAAAAAATAACTATGGATTCTAAGCAATTTTAGTACTAACACTTATTCAGAATAATTTTGCTTGATTGCGCCGACTGTGTTGCAATGTGCTGATTGAGCCACTATTTGTAGAAACCAGTATGTGCAAACATGTATTTTCAACATTATTATAATAAAAAGAACACTGCACGTTAGCTCAAAGATATGAATTTTATGTTCTCGTGGCAATCACGAGTGAGCGTAGCGGGCCAGTGAGATATTGTTCTTGCCTTTCGGACGTAAAATTCATATGTCCTCGCCACCGTGTAATATCCTCTATATATTGGAAATGTCCCAAGCTTCTTTAATCAGACATCGCTAAAAATAAGAAAACGTTAATTTGAATCTCTAGCGATAGGAAATTTATGTCCGATGAGTGCTAACACAGTAATTTGGCAACAATTCCATTGCATAAAAGCTGGATTTAAAAAATTAGACCGTGCTGATCTGGCCGATATTCTCCCAGCAAGGTTGGTTAATAAGAGACTTATTACACGACAAAAAATGTAAAGAAAAATGCTACAATTAGGGACGGCGGGCAATTCTGATTGGGAGTAGACGGAGCGTATAATCATGTTTGATTTTAAACAAAACAGAAGGGAAGAAAAGTTGGAAGAAAAAGAAAAAGGAAAATTTTATGTTCAATACAATCAATAAAGCAAGTTTCTTTTTTTAGAAATGTAAGCCATAAAACTACCAGAAAATCATCCAGAGTGATCGTGCGGGATCATTCGGGACAGTACCCGATCTAATACTAAGAGAATATTGGACCGGGAATGGAGGAATCTGATTGGTTGATTTTAGTTATTAGCCCTCTGAACTAACGTAGTCGTGTAGTAATGTATATTTCAGTGACTGAGTAGCTTCAGTGGCTTACCAAAATTCTTCTGATTCAAGACCCTTGCAGAGCGAACGCTACATAAACACAGTACAAGGATATCTTCTGATTGGTTAGGTGCTATAATCATACAGCTTATTCACACTGGTGTCGAAATCGCATGTAATATTGGATATAGACTGAAGAATAAATCTGCTACACTCTTCTTTTTGACCTGTACAACACTGCCTTCACTTATCGCGACGACATTCACCTTTAAATACCTTAGAATCGCATTTTGTGTTAGGGAATTTGACGAAAATTTGTGTTTTTGTTCCAAAACGCGTATCTTGCAAGCATGTCTTCGGCATCTCAAATTTTCTAATAACTAGGATCACATTGCAAGTTCTTAATCAAACCATGTTTATTTTCTCATTGAATAGTTCGAAAGCCAACTGCTCATCCATCTAAAAAAAAAAACAGAAGTCAATAATTTTTGTTGAAAGGTTCCCATAGAAAAGTATGAAAAGGTGCGTGATCTTTCATGAATGAATACATTAGCTACAGGTGCCATCCGTCGCGTGATTAATTAGAGCAAGCGGGACATGCACAGAGATAAGAAGATTTAACAACCCGCGACGGAAAAAGCTTCGAAATGCGTGCAAATCTAGCCCGAAAAAATACATTTTATTGTTTAAAATGTAATAACATGATGGTGAATAAGTATTTAAAGTTATTAAAACAATTATTAGATTCGGTTTGTGTTTTCCGCCTCAGACATCGAGTGCGGCAGATAGTACAAACCCCTGTATTCGATACCCTACTCAGCTTCGCCCAGTAATTGTAAAGTATTGCTATGCGCATAACAAATCAATGTTTACTAATGACGAAATTAAATTCAAAAGCTGAATGGTTTTCTCTAGCTACACTGTCTCTTAGCACACTCTGACTGGCGTCAACTATGCTGTATCACGCTTTCAATACTGTTTATCTTTTCCTAAAACGTTGATGTATGGGCAGTTGGCTTTCCGACAATTTAATAATTTAAAACTAAGCGAGAAACATAGTTGGGCTTGTGAAAATGATATGCCGGACCTTAAAATGCCAGAAAATTTGAGTTCCAGCTTGCTTGCCGAGAAAATACGCTTTTAGTTACAAAAACAATTTCCCTCCCCCCAAATAAGTGACTCAAGATGAATCTATCATCAGAAAATTGAAACACCATTAGTTAACATGTCTTCAAAGGTAACAATGCTCTATTCGGCAAGCGAAGATGGCTTTTCTCCGACAAAAATCAAACAGTGATAGTTACAGTGTCTAATCAGTGATACAAAATTTATCAGCACTATATATCAGTGATAACCACGTTTCCTCAGCAAGTTATTGATCATCTCGTTAAAGCCTTGAAACCAATTAACAGTCATCAGTAGGAGTATAAGTGTGGCTTTGCCAAGAGCATCCTAAAAGATCTTCAATTACGCCACGTAATTTGTCTTGTTAGTCGTCAGTTTGTAACGAGATATGTGCACTCTCATAAATAACACGGACATCACGGGTTCAAGACGCACTTTGAAGTTTTTACTTCTTCTCGACCTTAAATAAATTATTATTATCTTTAAAGTTGCAACAACTCGAAAATACGGCGAACATCAACCCAAAGGAACACAGTAAAAGCCAAACTGAAAAATTCGAATTTTTATTACAAAATATAGATGTTAATGTCAAGGAAATAGTCAGCTAATTTCATATGATACGGACAGCAAATGCAACACTCAAAAGTTGTTAGCTGATTTCCTTATTAAAGTCTTGAAGTCAATTAATGCAGCGCAATTTTGTTCATATTAAAGTTTTAATTGGCTTTTTTTCGGGATGTATCTTGAATTTTACTCCTTCTTATTTGTGAGGCGAAATAATTTTAAAAAGTTAAGATTTCAATTAAATGTGCTTATGTCAATTACGTTTTCGACGTCCTAAACCCCGCAAAATGTGGCTCATTTCCAAAACTTTAACACGAGATAATTACTTTTGTTGAAAGAATGTTGAATTAGAAAAGCTCGCAGGTGGATAGAGATGATGTATATTTACGGTGCAGTTTTCTGTTAATACTGACAGATTGGCCGCATTTCACCAACTCCCTTGCCACACCGTGTTCTGAATAGCTGAATATAATGGCGTTCTTACATGGTTCTTTTAACCGTATTCCGCTAAACTCCTCACCCAGTATTTCGATCCTTTTAGAACCGCTGCCTTCCTCAGTAGTTCACTCAGCACAGCCAGCTCACAGCCACGAGTGCCACCACAATCCACATCAAACAGTCAGCACGTTGCCGATATGCTTACCACAAGGCATTCGCATTGTGAACACGACTCCACACCAGTTTACTGTTATAAGTTGTCGTGCGTCCATCTCCAAAGGAACTCGTTTCGGTCCTTACCGCGGCAGAGTGGTTCAACCCTGGCAGGTTAAAGAAGGTGAAGATAATGAGTACTTGTGGGAGGTTAGTATAGTTAAACCCCCAATGTCGACAAAATACTGCCAATGGTTCCTTTCTTATGAAATGTATTTTACAAATGTAACAAACTGGAACTGTTTCAGCGGGTAACGCCGAACAGGCTCGAACAGGCTTTGACTTCATAACACACGTACGTTGTTGTATGTTTGGTATCAAAGTTTGCTGTCTTCTTTGCTCAGAAACACTGGTACACTCTGTTTTGGTATTTGCCGTCGTCTAACAATGTCCAGCCGGATAGTCGGGTTCATGTAAATCTAGGATATCTTTGTTTTTTTTTTTGTCAAAATGAAAGTTCTTGGTATGTTACACGAAAGGCTGGCAGCTATTTTGTATGTTGGTGTTTGTCTTTTGATGCCGCTGCCAGATATGGACACCAATCAAGAAAGAATTTTGCCGACGCATCAAGTCATATAACAACACTTAAGATAGCAAAAACGACTCGAATTTAACGATTACTAAGTTAAGATTATCAGTTACTTTTATAAACTGAACAGGGGTCTTTGGTGAACAACATCCCTACCAGGGCTTGCATGTTGTACTACAAAACCAAATGTACATCAATTATTTTGGTAGGTGCCAATATTTGCTTTCTTTCTTGAACATTTAAGGTCTTCAAAGAGGATGGAAGCCTCGCTTATTACATTGATGGACAAAGGGAATCAGAAAACTGGATGAAGTTTGTTAACTGTGCCCGAAACACCGAAGAACAAAATCTTGTGCTGCTTCAAGATGGCGACCAGCTGTATTATGAGTCATGCCGAGAAATTATACATGGTGAAGAACTGCTGGTTTGGTATGGACACCGCTATCATATGTTCATGGGGATTCCAACTGGAATCAAGACTGCACCACGGAAAGAACAAATCAACGAGACTGGACAAGGTGAGGCCGCACTAAACACTACATTTCACGTTTAATAGGGAACGAGGCAACTTCAAATTCTACATGAAGTGATCCCGGGACGAATAAAGAGTTTGCAGTTTTACACTTCTCCAATGACAAAAATAATAATGAGTCGTATTTTCAGTAACTTGTTAAAATCGTGACCAATTGTTTCATTTGAAAACCCATTCGTAGCAACCTCCGTCAAGTCTTTCTTTAATTTTTACATCCTGTTTGCTTCTCCAACGTATTTTAAAAATTTATATTAAGTTGGAATCATTGCAGGTGCGTTTGGCAGTTACTCGTGTGAACGCTGTGGTAAAGTGTTTGCCTACAAATATTACAGAGACCGCCACCTTAAATACACGCGCTGTGTTGATCAAGGAGACCGGAAGTTCCCCTGTACAGTGTGTAACCGCTCATTTGACAAGCGAGATCGCCTTCGTATCCACATTCTTCACGTGCACGAGAAACACCGCCCTCACCAGTGCACAGTGTGTGGTAAACGCTTCTCTCAGTCATCCAGCCTCAACAAACACATGCGAGTACATAGTGGTGAAAGACCTTACAAGTGTCCACATTGTGTCAAGGCCTTCACGGCTTCTTCCATTCTACGGACGCACATCCGTCAGCACAGCGGGGAAAAGCCCTTCAAGTGCAGGCACTGCGAGCGTGCATTCGCATCACACGCAGCACATGACAGCCACGTGCGTCGCACGCACACAAAAGAGAAGCCATGCGTGTGTGAATACTGTGGAAAGGCGTTCGCGCAGTCTTACGAACTGAAGTTTCATATCAACATGCACACGGGAGCCAAACCTTACACCTGTGAGAAATGTGGTAGAGCGTTTTC